TATATGTGCCTAATACATGCACATAATTATTTCTTTAATTATTTTTGGTAGAAATTTTTTCGAATTTAAAACTGAAATTAGCGAAATCATGCATTATTCACAATAATATAATATAGAGGAGTTTGATTAAATGATCTACACAAAAAAGAAAAAGAATAAACAAACCCCAAGAGTGAAATCATAATGAAGCATAGAATGGAAGTTAAGCATAAATATCATCCTTAGCATTTAAAGGTACTCTTTGAATATACTTACTTGTCTTTATCTGGTACAGAATTACTAAGTACTTCACTGCAGCTTCACAAAATCCTGTATTTCAGACTCGGAGGGTAGTTGGATTAGGATAGAGTCCAATAGCTGAAGAGCATGATTAAAATGTACCTCAATCCAGCATGGAGTCTCTTTGATGGTCTGTCTCTTGTAGTTCGAGCCCCAACCTTTTACAAAACTCAACCTTAAGATACATAATGGTCTTAATTCATCAACCCCAATATTTTGTGCTGGATTAGGATCTATCCTTGCTGTTGATAAGGAGCCATCTTTATAGGAGAGAGGGGTAGGGGTGATAGGAGGAGAAGGAGTGGTTTACCTCTTACTGCTGCTGCTTGGTTGGCCACTGCAAGGCAAGCTTTACGTGCTTGTTTCTGCATCTCCTCATAGGAATGGAACAAATCAAACACCTGCAGAACACTCAATATTATTATCATTATTATTATTTTAAATTTGATGTAAAAATCGGCTAAATAAACCAGCTCTATAACACAGTATGTTAAAGTGTAGTAGTGTACCTACCTTTACATAAGCATCAGGGAATATCTTATGCACAGCAATCCCTTGAGCTTGTCCAGCTTCATAGTCGAGATAACACGATTGGACAAATACTGAGTGGTTACTCAAACATTTGATCCACACCTCAGTCTCATTCTTCTCCTCAATAATTATGCCTAATGAAGTAGTTAATAATAATAATAATAACAATATACATTTAATTATAATATACATGCCTACATGGACAATATAGAAGCAGGATTATGCTAGGCACATGCCAGTTTGTTGTGGTCAGAACTATAGACCAGCCACACAGAGAAGAACAGAGGACTATACAGAGTCTGTAGATGAGGTGACTTGGTTTAAAGCTACATGTAGGTTTACATTCGACGAAACGGTCAAAAGTGCGTAGAAAAATTGGTCAAATTTCAATTTTGCGTTTACTTTTGCATTGCGTTTTGTGTCGAATGTAAACCAAGCTTAAGGTAAGTTTTACTAATATTAACACAATACACATTAACATTGTTTAAATATAATTAGATATTACTAACACAACAAGCATCACAACTGAATAACAGTAAAGGACAGTATGCTACACTTTTAAGGTAAGTTATACTAATAATAAGAACACAATACACATTACCATTTCTTGTATACAATTAGGTACTCCTAACACATCACACAATACAACTGAATAACAGTAAAGGACACTATGCTACACTACTAAGTTAGTGTAGACACAAACTCGTACCACAACAAGTGATGTACTGTGCTACATGGAATGAAGACAAAATATCTAACGTATTCTCAAATCTTTGATGATGTTGAGGGATCATTCCTTACATTCTTTACCTGCAAATATCTTCACAATAATTATCATGATAAATATGTTTTCAAAATGAATTTAAGAAACTGTTTTAAATGTTTTGTTTGCTTTTCTAGGTCTGTGGCACTATGTCCTAACAAGTAGAAATAGAAGGAAAACATACAGTCTGTTTTGTAAAAGCTCCATAGTTTACCTTGTTCTCAGAGGCTAAGAGGGAACGCACACCATAACTGGAATAGTAACTGGCTCTTCCTTAGTTGGCTTGATGTCTAGAGGAAAGAGAGAACGAGAACAATATTGACAACCTAAATCTCGAGTGCTCAATATGCTATATACGAAGGCTCATAACTCGAGATAGGTAAGCCACATTGATGCGCAACAAGCACCAATCGATAGAGACTTGTATGAGCAATTTTTTGATATGATAAAATAATTTTCAAATTTTTGTCTTAAGGTCGATTTTCTCAGAGCACGTCACATAATAGCTGCTTCTTGGCTTGACAGAGCACTTTTTCTTGTGACTACTTGTCGTCCTATTGAATCATACAACATTGGATTACTGTATCATCAAAAGGTATGCATACATAGTTTTTTATTGACTTAATACACTATTTTTTACAGAAGCAGCCCATGTCACAGTTTATGATAGTCGGCCTTGTGGGAATGATGATCTTACTTCACGTACAAAGAAGCAAATTGCTTCTATTTGTTTCTGTAACGAAACTACAATATCTATTTGTGCAAAAGATGCACAGAGGCAAAAGGAAACAAATGATTGTGGTCTCTTTGCTTTGGCATTTGCCACATCAGAATGCATGGGAGAAGATCCAAGCTTAATCTGTTATCAACAAAACAGACTTCGTCAGCATTTGTTAAGATGTTTCGAAGAGCAATCAATATCTTCCTTTCCAGCTTCATCACAAATACGACGACCAAGACAACAAAGGCTATCAACTATTTAAATTTTTTGCTTGTGCAGAATGCCAGAAGATGGCCGAATGGTGGAATATGTAGGCTGTAAAGAATGGTTTCATGATGCTTGTGTGGCTATGCCCTTTAGAGTGTGGAGTGATAAGTATCAGTGGAAATATCAGAAATGTTATGCAAGGAAGTGATATCAACTCAGTGCTCATGTAAATACTGAGAGTTTGATAGTCATGAATAATATATATTGTAAAAAAAACTTTGTTTAAAAAAATTAGTCTAAAAAAAGTTTTATACATGCATTATACATGTATGCTCTTATGAGGACAAAAATTTGCATGTAAAAGCTATCATCGGGTCCTAGACAAAAATTATTCGCTTAGGACAAAATTTGGCAGGAAATTTTTGTCCCAGGACAAAATATTGCAGCCAAACTTTATCCAGTCGGACAAAATTTGGGTAGGACACTTTTTGTCATGACGTACCCTCAAAATTGTTCCTATGCCACTCCCAAATACCACACCCATTGAAATGCTTAGTGTTGAAAAACTCAATTAGCTAAATTTATACATAAACCTGTTCTATAATTAATTTTGTACATTTAACTAAGTCCGCAATAAAACTTAGTCCACTTTTTTAATACTACTACTCAACCAAGTCAGGTGTAGTGTAAATACACAGTTGTCTCTGAAATTTGAAAGACCCTTTGTACTCCATAGATGCATAATTAATCAGTAGATCTAAGGAGAAATCGCTAGACACTGAGTGTAAAAGAGAGCTCGGACACAGTTTTGCTTTGTTCTTTAAATTTTAATATTGCTAAACTTGACACAGAATCATATACAAGTAAAAATCATCATAATTGTTATTCAAAGACTTTTAATAGTATTACTGCAATTAGTAACTGTCACTTAAGAAAGGTCCCAATGATTTATGAATCATTGACAATGATCCAACTCCAGATCCTTCTACGGAAAAATAGATGCAGCTCAATGGGTATCAACTCCATGTTCCAATATCTGCCTTTGCAGAACAAATAAATGGAACAAAATACCTTCTATAGCACTGTGATTTTCGTGTGACAATTTATGAAAGAGACATGGTATCCCTGTCCCATTTCCTAGTTTAACCACTGAGTCACGGGAATGGCTTAAAACTAGTTGCATCAGCCAATTTTGAAAATTGAGAAATGATGCTTCATCATCCCGTGCAGCTTGTGAACCGGGTATTCCAGGTGGTCCAGTGACTGCAGGTAGTTGTAACATTCTATGTTGTAAGGGCATGATTTGTTTTCTACATAAGTACAATTAACACCAATTTACATAGTTATTTCAGACAGTTGTGCACCTAAAAAAAGTTATCATTGGCAGCAAAGAAAGATAGGAAA